TACTTTGCAAGCATCATCCTGAACTTTATTACCTGAGAGTTCCAAGATAGTATCTTCGTTATCTGGAAGGTCCAAGTCAATATCATCTTGGTCATAGTCCAAGTTGGTATCATTTTGATCGTAGTCCACGTTGGTATCATCTTGGTTATAGTGCAAGTCAGTGTCGATATATTCGTAATCTTGCAAGTTGGTCATTGTAAAATAAAGATAAAAAAATGAGTATACCAAAATAAAATTGGCAGGGTATTTATGATTTGTGGGAGGGGTGCGAATATCGATATACTAAAAGATAATTGCCAGGTATCCATGATTAGTAAGCAAAAAATTAATACAAAATTATTACTGACTGCGAATTAGACGAGTTAGAGAAATAAAAAATTCTATTAGGTGATTGGTTATATTAACCGTAACAACAAAGACTACTAGTACATGTACTTAACATAATAATAATAAATCATTGTAAAAATAGTCATACTTGCGAATAATGATAAAGAATTGTCTTTCCAATTAGTCATTTTGCATACAAAACCATGATATGAGTAGTTATTAGCCACAATGTAACACCGGAATATCAAATTTCCTAATTTGATATTCTAGGGTACATTGTGGCTAAGTTTAAAATCGTGATTTTTGATCACAATTGAAGCTAACTACTCGATTATCAAAAAAATTAACATAATCGGTTCGATCCGGACCGGTTCCAAAATCAAAGACCGAAGACCACAAGGACCGGTCCAAAGATCGAGTTATGAATCGGTCTTATCAGGACTAATCCAACCCTATGTATACTAATTAAAATATCAGAGACAACAAATGCTTTGAATTGTAAAGAAATTTTATTTTAAGCACATAAGAATATACATGTACATGAAATCATTAGATAAATGCATTTTCTAATAATGTACATGTAACGGTAATCTATAATGGCAGGATATATCACGTGAATTATTTTTGATTGGCTGAATTTCATATTCAAATTACATGATGCGAAATCTAATTTAGCATTTAACTTATTTGGAAATGCAATGACGCAGTTTTTGATATGACTTTCTGCACCATATCGATATGATTTGTTTTAATTTTCGCTTGAAACTGTCTAGAATTGGAATGTCATCATTTTCTACATTGTAGGAACTTTTATTCGTTAACATTGTCCCCATCCATGATATGTGTTTTAAGTTGCTCCGGAATACAACATCCTGACAAATGGGATTATACTTCTCGAAACTCACATTTCGCAAGCGCACTTAAATTATTGTTTGACCCAACAGTGAAAAACACGCTGCCACTTTTGATTATTTTTTCGCTGCAGATGCATTACTTCGTGATGGTGACAAACGCCCCATATTGAAAACGCATCACATCGCCGTTCTTATGGGGTTGACTATTTAGAAAATTGATCAGAAAATGGCGAAATTATAATATTATCAAAACAAAGCTAATTACGTTGACATCTTATCTTGTTACAACCAGAATGTACTTGCCAACTACTTTGAGAATTTTTTCATCGTCTCTCAAGTGACTTGGGGAATATCTTTCCATTTGATAAAATATCAAAAAGAATATTAATAGAGCTTCGGAGTTTTATTACAAATACTACCAGCATCCGCTTAGATAATTGGCAAACCAATGCGTTTCGAAAAAGAGGGGATTCATACAAAAATTCAACGCTTCTACAATATTTTCACGATATTGATCTTGGCTTATTTTCTATGAAGACCGAGTAAATTCAATACAAAAAAAGTCATGTGAGATCGTCGTTGTTTTGATTCTGGGTAATCATGACTCATGACACTAATTTATCAACACAAGGCTGGCGAAGAATTCCATGGCTGGAGAAACCGTTTGAATAAGTTATGGCTAGATTTTTTTTCGAGAATGTATTGGTTTGACATTTTAATAGTGAAGAGTATGACATACACAGCAATAATGCAATATCAGTTATTTTTTATTATACAGATGTAATTCTGGATTTAATTAACGAATTCCGTTTTTGAAATCCCATTTTATTTATTTATATATCGAGAGAAAAAAATAAATTAAAAGAGCATACATATGCGAATAATTATATAAACTTAAAACGTATTTCTTATGTTAAAACCATCCAACAAAAAGAAAAAAAAAAGGGGATAAATTAATATTTTTTTCACAAGTTATTGCAAATTATAAGGACGTTTCTCGTTCTCCTCAACTTCTTCCATCGGTTGAGTAGTTTGTTGTTGTTGTTGTTGCATATTAGTATCACGATCATGCGTACGTTGTACCAATACTTCAACAACGCGTTCAAGATTGCCGTTATATCTTTTCAATAGATCAATATTTTGGTCGTCATCCTCCCAGTATCCCATTTGATGAAGGATCAAAAGTTTTTCTTGAATGGCCTGATCGTTAATTTTTTCCGATTGTTGTGTTTGCGGTGGTTGTTGCTGTTGTGTTGTTTCGCATGCTGTGCGGGAGAAGCTATGACAATTTCTACCGCGACCTCGTCGGCATCCACCAGTTCCAGCCCATGGTCCACGTCGACCACATCCATTCCAGTTCCCATTCCAGTTTCCATTCCAGTTACCAGCACCACGGTGCGCAGGATTCCATGGGCGAGAATTGAATGGGAAAGTGTCTGGTTGGATAAAAGGACAGTTCCCAGTAAACATATTAGCGGAATCATGTCTTCCTTGATGGAATGGAAAACCTGGTGGGAAGAAAGAAAAAGCTCCACGCGATTGTTCCTGTTCATGAGATTGTGGGGCCCTGTCTTGTTGCTGTTCTCGTGGACGATGAGAAGCCAACCACTCGGCCCAAATTTCAATATCAACGGGAATAGCATGTAGAATTTGATCCATAATTCCATTAACTGTTTCAATAATTTCTGGTTTCTGAACCAAGACATCTTGAAATTGATCCAACAAATTCTGGAATTGTTCTGCTAGTTCCATGACAGGGGATCGATCATCTTGTCTTTGTTCATTATTTTTATTTGAAGTAGAAGAATCAGAAGCGGATGCCGAAGCTGATGTTTCTCCAACATTCTCTTTTTGCTTTCCTTTGCTAGAGGTAGAGTCTAGCATTACTTCATCGCTCTCATCAGCTATATTTACGTGATAATAAGAAGGTGGCCGTGATTCTGGTTCTGGACTTGGATTTTGTAAAACTGATTCTTGTCTCATGACTTTCGGTTCAATTTGTTGTGATTGGGATGATTGCAAAAACGGATTATTTGTAGCGTTATCTTCAATTTGAATACCTTGAATACCTTGACGTATGTCACTCGTCTCATTATCAGATGCAACTGTCTCTACAGATTCTTCTCGCTGTCTTTCTGTCATCACCCAAGTTTCACCATTCGATTCTTGGCCAAGACTCGAGGTGGAAGAGTTCGGGGTAGAAGTGGGTAACGTGTTCAACGTGAATTTATAAGTAGTTCCTTGAGCTTGCAGGCTTAAAACTTCTTCAAGCTCTAAATCGCTTGATAAAGTGATCACATCACCATCATCATCTGTATAAGAGAGTTGAATTGGTGTGGTGACTGGAATGGAGTAAAGTGAGCGGAGTTTATTCTCTAAATCGGCCCAACTGGCAGATGAAAGACTAAATCGACGAAGAGTTGACTGGTAGGTTACTTTAATGCTTGTCATTTTTATCCTTTATCAGTTTTGTTAATTTATTTTGATTAAAATTTGGATCCGGGGAAAAAAACAGGATTGTTTTATAGTTTTTCCCAGAGTTGCTTACGTGTCCTGAGGTTAAATTATGGTTCCCACGCAAACCTATAAACGTAATCTGCGTATTACGTTGCACGACGAGAAGGTTCTTTCCATTTCAGAATCGAATGACGATTGCGCAGTTAAATTTGATTACTAAAATTTGTCTAGAAGTCACGGGAGTAGTTTTCAAAATTATCACGACGGATAAATTATATTACCGATATCGGAAAAATTTCTTTCCAGCATCTTCGAGCAAAAAGCACGATTTCAAATTACAAATGTGACGCGCAGAAGATTTACGAATATAATTAAATGCGTGTGTATTGTATACGTGTTCATCAGACGCTTTACGAATATAATTAATGCGTGTATATTGTATACGTGTACATTAAATACGTATGTTAAAAAAGTGTGTTTGGTTTCAATTGGTTTCTAGCAACGAATCATTGGCATCCAAGAAAAAGAATAAATACAGCAGGATAGATGTGAATTTCAAAATTCGAATAATCAAAAATTTGAATAGTAAATTACAGTACTTCTAAATTCAATTCAATATAATAAAAAGCGTATAGCAATATTTTTGAAATAAAAGATTCCGAAATCGTTATTTCTTATAATTACCAGCGACAACAGAATGGCAACAACCATCAAAGTAAAATACCAATCAACCGTTCGTCGTTTAACAATTCCAAACGACGAAACAAACTCTTGGACAGATTTCGAAACACAACTCCGCACGTTATTTTCAATTCCAGAAACTAATCCGATTTCAGTTTCATATACCGACGATGATGGTGATGTTATTACATTATCTTCAGATTTAGAACTTCACGAAGTCATTTCTAATAATACGTCACCATCCAAAACGTTGAGTTTTGTTATTTCGACCGTTAATGATGATGATCATTCCACCAAGCATCCGGAAAATGATTCGTGGGTGTTGGAAGGAAATGTTTTACCTTATATAATTGATAACAAAGCTACTGTTGAGGAAAAGCAAGAGACTGAAGCTACTGTGCCAAATGAATCGGAGGGCACGGAGAAGTTGACCAACAAAAATAGTAATAACAAAGAATCATCTGAGGAAGATAAATCGTTACAAAATGATCACCATCTTCATACCTCAATTGCCGACGAAGCAGAGGAACCTGAATTTGCGCCCACGATTACAATAGAAGAGAATAACGCTGATACTATCAAGGACAACAAATCAATTAATGACGAAGCATCATCCTATTCTTCAAAAGAGAAAGGTAAACAGAAACAAGTTTCCATTGAAGAATCAACTGCTTCCAACGATGAAACATCAAAAAAAGAAGAAAGCAATAACCAAGCAACAAAAACCGAAGTTGAAAAAGAATCGGAAACAAAACCAATCCTTGATGATGAAATGAGCCTTTTAGATGATTGGCTAAAAATGTTTTATAATATTACCGTCGAACAACCTACGACGAATGATGATTCCGAAAAGAATTCTGATGACAACAACAATGCAGAATCTTCTTCGAAAGGAAGAAGGAGAATTTTATTAAAAATTTCATCACAGCCAACACAAGACCAATTCTGTAGCTTTAACTCGTTTGAAAAATCTCGCTGCAGTAATAATAGAAATGGATGCAATCGTCGTGAATTCAATCAATGTCCTGGATTTTGTAATCGGTCATTCCTTCATTCCAGAAGCAATTGCAATCACTGTGGAAAAGATGCACATGCTGGTAGTGGTTTCTTCAATGTTTTTTCATTTCTTATATCAAATGCAATCACCACAATCGTCTCAGTAACTTTCTTTTTCGCGTTTATTCATATTATTTTCTCACTATTCAAAATTGTGCTCCCGATTGCTGCTGTAGTTGTTCCCACTTTCTTTGCGATACATTTTCTGAATAAAATTATTACTGGCCCTTTTCATGGAGTTTGTAATAACAGAGGTTTTTTAGAGAGACAACAACGATCATGTGGGAATAGACATTATGGAGGATATAATAGAGAAACACCCATTTTCTTTTATCGTCGTCATTATTATTAGAGGATAGCTAATTCATCAGATAGTATTTTTTTAGTTTTTATATTTTTCATATCTATTAGTATATGTATGAATAAATAAATAAATAAATAAATAAACGTTATCGTTATACAATATTTTTTCCTAGTGTTGCGTGTGTAGTGATTTCGTCAACGTTGATGCAACATACCATCGGAATCTACTTCATCATGAAAACGTGCGCACATGACCTCGATGCACATGATTATGTGCGAGACTCCGCGATCCTCGATTTGGGAGACAAAGTGGATTTAGTGATATTATCATGAAAAAATCGTACGATACCCAAAAATACTATTGAGCCACATAAGAATCGTATGATAGACGTCAGAAACCAAATCGTGCGATACTCAAAATACTATTGAGCCACGAAGAAATGCAAGGTGGGTCGTCGTTTGAACAAATTTTAAATAAAAAACCAGTGAAAGAAAACAGAAGTGTTTTAACCAAACTAAGAAAGGTATTTCTCGATGCCGTTATTCTGTGCTATACGTTTAATCTATCGCTACGGACTTTAGTTCCCTTTCCCACACGATGGCTGTCCCGAGCAATCACGATTACGAAGGTTACACGAAAAAAATATCATCTGACTATCTAGTAAATCACCAGTATGAGCTTAAATTTTGAATTTTCGGTGTCTTATCAATATCAAACTCTCGTAAGACATACGCTGATGGCTGATGGATGATTCAAGTTAAAATTATAGTTAATTAATAATGATTTCTGTGTATAAGTTGTGACATAACTTTTTATCTTCTTGTTGATTTGGCATCGATATCTATATCAAGTTCAGTAATCACAATACTTTTAGAGGTGATTTCACTTATTTAGATAGAATCTGCAACCAATACTTGTAGAAACTTAAATATTTCGATATGCTTGAATCAATTTGTAAATTTCATTTCAATTGAATATAAGATAAAGGTGCGTACCTGTATCAGTTTTAATTGATATAAATTGCATTTGAGTGGATTTGTTTATATTCTGGAGCTTTATCTCATCATCAAGCTTATTTAATTTTTGCTTTTTAATTTTAGACACTCTCTAATTTCTTCATGTGTTTTTGGATACTTTAAAGAGCCTTAGTATTGAAAAGCGATGGATAGATCTGATAGAGGATCGGTTTTCGTTTTCTGGAATAGGATCCCAACATTTTTCAATAATAAATTTGCACATTACTCGGTATCATAGGTCATATATATATATATCAGGTTACAATGATAAACATCTGTGGCTTGTATGGCTTTACATGTATTTCATATAAGGAAGAAGTACGCCATAAATTTCTTAAGCCCAAAGTCAGCAATTGAGGAATGCTCATTAATATATTTTCCAGTCAACGATTTTCAGATTATCGATAATATCATATCGATATGAATAACTTAGTTTTTGATTCCAGGTCAACTTTTCGTAATTGGAATTACCATTTTTTGCATAACGACAAGTCATCACATCACTATCGGAATATTTATTTGTAACTGAGTTTCAATTATTCATTGATAATTAATATAACCACCAGTCTAATCTATTTTGCAAAATTAGAAAAACAAAAGGCAACTTTCATTTCAAAAAATGTTCCTCTTTTGTAAATGCTGAAGTAATTTGCTTTGAACAATTGATCTCCTTTATTTAATTTCGTTGCATTCTTTTATCTCATAAATTCGTTTGTGATAATTGAAACATCAGGGCAGTTACCATTTTTTTTTTAACAATCATGAATATTGTGAACTAAACACTCATCTCAGCATTGAGTATATTGGTATATTGACATTTAATGTGAACTAAACATTCATCACAGAACTTATCAAACAAACAAATAAACAAACAAACAAATAAACAAACAAACAAAGAAAACATTCATTACAATGATGAGTATTCTACTTTGAGTTCACTTTATAAAAGAGTTCACTTTATAAAAAGAGTTCATATGAGCATGGAGAGATGACGAATAATCGTTATATAGTGAGGGACAGCATAAGATATCCAATATTTATATGTAATATAAAAAGTGCTATAACTCAAAAACAAATAATTTTAACAAAAATCTCTTTTAAAAGTTATAACACTTTAAATTTTTATATGTGATTGAAAATTTGGCATTTATTATATAAAAATAAATATTCATGCATTTAAAAATTTTTTTTAATTGCTTCTGATTGGTCAGTTTAATTAATATGTATAAGATCTGCAATAAAAATTGGCATTTTGGCGCAGTATTGGATATCTTATGCTGTGCAAGTGGTGTGTTGACTCAAATTCTATGTGAATGAAGTGTGCTGTTCATAAGGAATTTGTTTTCGTTGTTCTATTAACTGTTTCGTAAGTGTAACGGGTTTCGGTTGACAAAAAAAATCTTCTATTTGCATTTTGTATGTAGTTTTCTTGGCTTTATCTGGTTTCTGTGCTAAGAAACGACATGATTTTATCATTTGAATGGGTTTGGCATACATTCAAGAAGCATTTATGTGCGTTTTATTATTGTTACGTTATTATTAACATTAACTTTATCAAGAATGATTGTTTGTTATTACATGTTTGAACTTCAATACGAAGGAACAAATTAACACAACAATGTAACGAATCAGTATATCGATATTATATTGTTATGTATTTTTTTATGATAATTTGACAACGACGATGACTCTAAAGAGAAACTGCCTAAAAAATCATCTAAACACGTTAAAAATAATTACATGTTCAATGTGATAATTATATATGAACAGCTCGTTGTTATACCCTTGAAGGCTATAATTGATTTCTACAGTGCTTGGTTTAATATACATTTCAAAAAAAATCAAAGTTCTGGTATAATGATAAACAACAATCCGCCTCTAACGCTAATTAAAGTGTTAACAATTAATATATACATGTCAACTTCCATGTACATGACATGTATTTGGTACAACTTGAAATATTTCATAATGTCGAAATATTTCGTCCATCAGAATTCCTATCACTTCTAGCATTGACGCAATTTCGAAATCGCACGCAGTCATCCTTCTTGTAAAAACACAGTCTGGCCAGAAGATCTAGTGCTTGTAAAAAAGTTTTTTCTTAAAAGAGGTGCTTTTTAATATATATGCTATGAAATAATTCTCTGTTCGGGCCACAATGCTCATCAGAAAAATGAGTATTGCTGGGAACGTTTTAATTATAACAAACGAATTTATAACTAGAATAAAGATCTCTACAATTTAAGAATTCAAATGGATTCCTTTTGAAAGTTTGCCAATGTTGACTATCTAGGATAGAGCTTGGAACAATTTATTCTAAAGCAACAACATTTTGGTATGTAAAATGGGATCACGAAGAAAATAAATTTAAACGATATAAATAAACGAAGTTGTGATTCAAAGAAAACTTACATTAAGAGTTTATAACCGAGGTAAAATGAGCCATTCCTATATTTTGTTTCTATACAATAAATTTTCAAACAGATTCAGATTGCTCTAATGGTCATCTAAGAATATTTATCACAGAATAAATGCTCAATACGCAAAATACATGTACACACACAAATATATATGTATTAAATTGACTTGGGAACGAAAACTAAAGTTCATGTATTTCTCAATTATTTGACAATGAGAGATTTATGTATGCATCATGACTTTTACCCCTTGAATGGAAAATCATACAGCACTACAGCTTTTTAGAAGACGAAGAAATTATTGAATATTTTGAATTAACAAAAAAATTCCAGATGATACATACACCTCATTAAATAAATATTGTTCCTATTGTTATAATAATGAAATTCAAATAACTTTGTCGTTATAACGAAATTTTATTACCTGGTCATAATAACGAGGATTTGACTGTACCTTTTGTTTTAATATTGACTTTCATATTGTTTTATAATATTTGTTTAAATATTTAGGTCCTATGATTGTATAATTGTATAAAATGAATATATTTTAAATACAAATTCATGGTGAAGCGCTATAACAAAACAATTTTTAGCATTAAAGAACATGGTATCGATGTTATTTGCTTACTCTTTTATGTGTATTTGGAATATATTGAGCAGACTGACGTTAGATAGTAGCATAGAACATTATATACGAAATAAAACAACTGGCTTGCATCATTTCTTGAACTTAGGCTATAACAATCCGCCAACCTTTTTTTAGTAATAAAATTTCTCAGCTAATGAAGAATATATCGGGTTGAAACGAAAAATTTAAAAATTTTAAAAGACTGAAGTTTTGATTTTCTTTTGATGATGCCTGTGGAAATTTTCGTAGATAACATAGTCCTGAAAATAAGCAATTCATTTGAACCAATTCTTACTTAGATTCATAATCAATAATGAAATGAATATTATTAATAATTTATTTTATGTATTAGTTTGTTTATTCATCCAAAGTATGTGTCTATATTATAGATAAAATTTACTTTAACAAGATTTGAAATAAAAAACATTATTTGAATCAGTAAATAACTTCCTTTGATACACCACCATCATTTTTTTTTTAATCTCACTTCCGTAGATTATCACGAAATTTGTATTGGTATTGTTTCACATAGCCAAAAGAATTGCTGCGTATAATTTTATTATCGATTCACGTATATGTACCCACAACAATTGTTCATTGATCTATCCAAATCCAATTATGATCTGCAACGTCATTAAAATAACTACATGTAATAATACGCAGTTATAAATATTCTCACACCAAAAATACTTAAACTTGTAGTTGTAAAAAGGTATAAAAACAAAGGAGTTAGTTTTCCGTCTTCTTCACTTGGAAGTCGTCGACTTTTTAAGAAATTATTAATTACTATCGCATCGTCGTCGCTATCCTTTTTTAATTGCAGATTAAATTATTTTGTCCTACACCACCAATATAATTTCTTAATATGTCTGAATTAACAAACACAAATCAAGGTGACGCTAGCTTTTACGAATTCGACACCGATAAAACTATACTTTCTCTTAAAATACCAGAAAACCTGCTCTCGCAATGGTTCAAGGGTCGCACAATTGCACTATTTATCTGTTTAGATATTTCCGGTAAATTTCAATCTCAATTTTACTTACTATCTTGGGAAATATTGTCAATTGAAGGCGACAATTGATTTTTATTTTAGGTTCAATGGCTGGCGAACCACTCAAACAAGCCAAACGGGCCATTTTGGAACTGCTAGATGGGGTATTCAGTTCCGGTGCATGTACTGAACAGGATGTCACATGTTTCTTTTTTCGATGACCGTTGCATTGTGGTTCCTTTCGCCAATGATGCAGAATTACGTTGGCATAATGGTGGCATTCAAAGATACTTCGATAAGAAAGTTCGAATTCGAGGAGGTAACGAAACATAAGGTGTATTTCTCAAATCTTGTCCCATTTTGTTAAATAGTAAATTTTCTAAATAGGAACCGATTTCACTTATGTCTATCGTGAAATTGTAAAACATATGCCAAATGTTCATACTGATTTGGCTGTAGTCTTCTTCACTGATGGACAGACAGCCAGAATTACGGAACAAGATGATAATGCTATTTCTAGCGCATTATCTACTTTTAAGCATGGAACTGAAGTTCATACCATCGGATTTAGTGTATATCATAATGCAGGTAATATAATAATTCAATATTAATCTAAATCTTTTGGCCAGCCAGCTTAAAAAAACTTTGTTAAAATCTCGATTTGAATTATCCTAAATAGCAATTTTGTCATGGTTGACCAAGCTTGGGACAAAACAAGGAAACTTCCAATACGTGGAAACAACCGCTGACATTAGAAAAACAATGAGAACGACACTCGAATTGCTTTCGTTAGGAGATCGAAACATTTTTGTAAAGGTCGGTGACCGTGAAGCAATTCAGACCGCCTTCGACAACGAAGGGCGTGGAAGATTGACACTCACCGGCGAGAATAAATCAGTTCAAGGAAAAACAATAACTGTTCTTAAAGAACAAGAAGCAACCGGCCTAGAAACATTTACCATCGAATCTCTACGACAAATCAATGAAGGAGATGCCGAAGCGACGCTTCTGACTATTCATGTGATACAAAGTGAAATTACACGATTGACCAATGAGGTTGTTAATAATTCTGGAAATCGTGAGAAGCTGGATGAAATCCGAGAACAGGCTGAAAGATATGACGCGAATCTGAATGGTATCTTGGAAAAATCATTCAAGTTGAAGAGCGCTTTCCGAAATGAATCCATACAGTTGTGTATGGAAGTTAAAACGACGTTGCATCGTTTCAAAGAATTATTATCAGAGTATGTATCGTATATATATATTTATTGTTTATTTCGTTTTTAATGTCGTATTCAATTTCTTTTATACCGTTTTTTTTTTCAAAGTGCTCTTAAAGGAACGTTATCAAATGAAAAAATCGCAAACTTTAATAACCTTGCATACAAGAATGTCACTAAACAGAGACTAAAGAAAAAACTTGATGATCGCGCCATCAAGAATGTTGATCAGATGCAAGCAATTGAAGAGCGTCTAAAAAATCTTGTACAGACAATCGATTTCGATGAGTTAGACCGAACAGAGACAGAAGAAAATAAATTGGCATATACATGTACCTTAACCACTGGTAAGTATTAATTACGATTTCTAACTTTCTCTCGTGAAAATGCTAATACCCCCCCCCCCCTTTTTTTGAACATGCTAGACAATTATATTGAGACAATGCGCGAGGGAGAATGTATGTGCTTAACTCTGGATATTGGTCGTTCGCAAGCTGCTATTGCTGATCCAACGCAACTTGTCATCAAGAAAATTAATCAAACCTTCATGTCATCTGATGCATTTATGAACTCTGTGCGATATGCACTTGAAGAGACTAGTGGGGAAGACAAAGATGTGCATGGTGGTTTCGAGGGTCCTTCTTTTGCCGCTAGTGTTATTAAAGGAATCGCTAGGGAAGATATAACTGGTAGGTTGATTATTTACGTATAAAAGGCCATTGCGCATTTTTTGTGATTGTTAATTCTTGGTCTATTAAAACAACAGGAATTCTACCTTTATACATTAACGAAAAGCATTGGCAAATAGCAAAAGAACGAATTAAGGTAAAAAAAATTTTGGTTCAATTTTATGTAGTTTAACTATAAAATATATACGTTTTAGCTAAATGCCTTCCAATTTTAGCCAATTATGGGCTATATGACAACGCTTGATGTATTTGGCTACTCCTATGGTCAACTTACAACAGTCCCCTTCCTCGTGTTGGGAAAAGCTCTCGGCGATACGTCAACAGATTTTCGACGCAAACAACTAAAATTAATACTCGATACTTGCCAAGCTTTATACAAACAATCAACGAAGCTTCGTGAAGAGAACAAAACCTTATTCGAGAAATATACAAAATCTCCGCTCAATCGAACCATTGATAGTGTGGCTAACCATACTGTCTTACTCGGTCATATACTTTGTGCACTCGAACTCGGAGATATTACACTCACCCAAGTGCAGCAATATATACAAGAAGGACTCTTCACTTACGCAATCGAGGAAACTATCCGTCGAAGACTTAATAGAGCTTTACCTGGTATCGAAGAATTTATTAGTGATATTCAGCGGTTCTTGGGAATCGATCAGGAATCATTTATTGATAAGCCAGTTAGAGAGTTTGCAGAATCGTATGCAGCGTACATAAAGAAAACTCAAGAGGCGACATTTAAAGGAAATAGTAGATACGCTATCGCATTTCAAACTGCATTAGGAATGAAACAAGCTGAGAATGTGGAGATTGATAGCGATAATAAAGTGTCACAAGAATCCGCCAATGTTGATACAACGATGCCGCCGACTGTTAGAACAACTCGATATGACGGATCAAAATACGCGATTCTAAGTTCAACTACAGCAATTTTAACAAAAATGCAACAGTTAGTCTTGGAAACAGTTGAGCTGATACTTCGCTTTAAACAACTATTTGAATGGCTAATCACCAATAACACGACAGATGTCACTAAATTCACTGAATTCCATAAATTCGTCCCAGAAGTAACACCATTTGCCACACAATACTTTGCCCAACTCTCGCCTAAAACACGACTAGCAACATTCCTTCAAGCATACAAACATCGACAAAATTCTGCAAGACGCGAAGCAGCCGAAGCTACACCGGTAACTTTCTTTGAACCATTTTCAGACGCCACAGCCGATCAAATAATCTCTCTTCAGTTTGACGAATACGTTTCCGACCAATTGAAACGTCGAGTCAATGAAATTATCGAATCTCATGATAAAAAGGGCAATGACGCGATTGGATTGGCTTTTTGGCATGCGAAATCTGCAGATGAGGCTGCTGGTATTTTGATGCTTGATGTGAAATTCCGTGGGGCCAAAGTATATGCGCAGGTTATTAAGGCTTTACAAAAGCCTCAATTAGAGGTGGCGAAAGAAAAGATTGAAATGGTTATAAAGGGGATATGGAAGGGAGTGAAATTGTTTCAAGATGATTTCAGTAAATTACCGGGTAAATATTTTCACTTTATTCGTTAATTACGCAAATTTCATTGAAACTCAAAGATTTATTTTACGATCATATTTAGAAAAAGCAACCTGGATTCCATCCCGACAAAACTTGTATCGAATGATTATCGCGCAAAAAGATTCCATTTCTAATGCAGCAATTTGGATTGAACTCTTGCCAAGCTATAAAGCTTATATAGAGCATCAATTCGATGATGAATATTTGGCGTGTCGTATGCGTGAGAAATGGGAGAAGAGAGAATTAAAACGAGGACACGAATAAATTTACTGTTCGTATCCAGGTTTTCTTATTCTTAAAAGTATGAAGATAGAATATTTTATAATAATTAATTCCAATTTATTGTAGTTTATACTGTATTATTAATGATAAGTAAAATATGTTTATTTCACTAAAATTGAAAAAATTTCTTTAATAAAAAATTCGATTTAGCGTTACCGACTAATTTTTCACTTTTCAATTTTCCTCTTGCTTCTCACAGTTTATTTAGGATAGAGTGTTAACTTTGGCGGGAAGAAATAATGTGCCTAACATTTCTAATAAATCATAATATGTATCGTATGAACATTCTAGCAATCCAGTAAACTATAAAATATACATTGTAAACAATTGAAAAAAACTTTATCGTAAACCTTTCAAACAATCTGAATTAGCAATTTATCTAGCCTTGGTAAAAGTATTGACTAATACCACTTATTTCAATGCAAGTAAGATTCCAGGGACATATGATGCCTCTATCGACTCGTCACCATTAGTACCTCTGATGGAAAAATGATTCTACTCCATTGTAGGGCATTTGGAACAACCAACAATACAGGACAGCAATCCGCGCAAAAAGCAAAAGTCTGCTATTTTAGAATCAGCTCAGAACATCACCAAGATCTTGAGCGACAAACCACCAACAAAGTTATCAATGAAATTGGCTTTGGGCAGAGGTTTACTAACTTTCTGCAAGGGATTGGCTGTGCCACTCTGAATTCGAACTTGTGGAATAGCTTTGAAAGAACGGGACGCAGCTCATGATTCTCGGTTCAGAAGTCAGTTCTGACAACAGTGAAGCTGGAGACTTTGTTTTTAATTGTCACAGGGTTTGTGGCACGACATAATGTACTGCTCTCTGCCGCTAAAGGCAAAAGACCATTTAAAAGAGAATCAAGGAGAATGGAAAGAAAGAAGAGAAACTTCCTACAGGAAGACAAAGCACATTTATCTCTTTCCTGCCCAGGAATAACGACAGAGACTCAAGACATGGTTAGAAATAACATTATACACTTACAACCAGTGTTTCGCTATAATAAAAAAAGATGCCAAGCGTAATAAAAAGGAATTGCGAACAGAGTGTGTCTTAATGATAAAAATTTTGATAAAAACCTTTAAAAACATTTTTGTATACAGGATGAAGCCACGAACGATTTACTTTAATTATACTCATTAAACTTCGTTACAAAGCATAAAGATTTAATATAAAGTTATATAAAGTTCCATTCTAAGAAAGATCACTTGAAGTCTATTACAATGCTCTTCAAGCAGTGGGGCAAGTTACATGTTCCTCCACAAAGTGAAGGTAGCTGGACTAAAATCCTCATAGAAAAGCTTCTATATGCTATCCATCTTGTAACGAATAATTTTGACGAATTCTACCTCTGTATTTTTAAGCCACTTGAGATGAAAACCAAGGCCCTTATACATGATGAAAAGGTTTATTTTTTTTCGCTTTTCATTTCATTTGTTTTTCTTTGAAAAAACAGGATTAGGGTACCTCCCTGGACTTGATATAAGAAATTTTATAATTCAAGTGGGCTAACAATAGCGAATGATATTTTTGAAACTACCGTTTATGACAAAACTCCAGAACCACCTTGACATCATTCATGGAGCGTACCATAGAGCATTGTTTAAAACCTCCCCTGTGAGAACTTTGTTATTAAATTTGGCCTCAAATCAAATAATTTAAGAATTTTGAAGAATTGTACTGGAGCTTGAATTCATCATTTTGTCGAAAAAATGTATAACGGTAAACTTCTTAGAAGGAAGGGTATCTTATGCAGTGCTCTACGGTAAGTGTTACAAACGTCGTCGCTGCACCATTCATAAAAATTCGAAGATGATTGCCATTTGGAAACTCTCGGATGGCTATGGGAAAATTGTCACATTATGCAATTATCCGAGTTTGGCAGCGTTGATTCTTCCAAAACTGCTAGAGCGATGAGCGACGGTCAACATCTTTTGCATAAAGCTCGTGAATATCTGGTGTTAAGTGATTCTACGCAGAGTTCACAAGTAAAATCTGCAGTCAATGTATCAAAGGTATTTCATTGTCAAAATGCCACTCCGAGCTTGACAGATCTTAATGGTGCTCGGAACACCTCCTTGATTTTGTAGTACTTAACAGCTCTGCATAGTGATGTCAAGGATGTGTCGGTTTAGCCTATAACATAGAACATTCAATGCTTAACAATTACATGTATTGTATGTACATGTACTGTATATGTATTGCGTACGCATACCGATACATGTACATTACGATACAGAACTAGAAAATTTTAATGTTAGTACATTAATATGTACATGTAATGGGCAAACTCACACTTTGATATATCGATATAAATCATGTTATTGAAAATAAAATAATGTGACAAAAGTTAGTTTCTTAATCTTTAAAATTTTCAATTACAAGACCTAAGCGAAAAAATATTTATTTTTTATGTTATTAAAACAATTTCATATTCGTATTGTCATTTGCAAAATAATTCTAATTTCTCTTTATTAACAAAGTCAGCAAAAAGAGACCGATACAATTGTAAAAAGAGATGGCATAGAAAAAGCAGCGAAATATGCGCCAAAATAAATAGTTTCAACGAAGAGAAACAATTAATTGCCATTTTTTTTGTATATATAAAATGTTTTTATTATTTAAATATTATCGTTATAATTTCTACAAATTTTTATTTAAAATTAAAGTTACATTTTTTGGTGTTGATTTCTATTAGGAAAACTTTTCTTTTACAGGAAGCTTAGGAGAGGACTTTCCAAAAAAAATAAACGAAAAATTTTTGAACTCATAATAATTCCTCAGGAAATCGTCGTGGTAATACTTTTACTCAGGAATTAATGGATAAACTCTAAGGCAAATTATTAGGTTAGCCTATTAACTATCAGATTGTATTGTTGGTCACTAGTGACGAACCACTGGAGGAATTCTATGACCCTAATGGGTTTCTCCTAAACTCAATGTGTCCCACCAAAAAATCATTTAGCACCAACCATTTTCTACCTATATAACGATAATAGAGCGAATTTTTGTTTAGCGTTAGGCTGAAGATCATAATATCAATAACGATAATAGAAATTGTTTCATGAAAAACTTTGGTCATTTGATTTATCGTTATCGTTATAGTATAGATTGCTGAATCAAATACGCTTTTTATTAATTTGCCCGAATAAGAAAATGAGGATGTGCTTTTTATTTTGACAAGAGTGTCCTATTAATTTTAAGGTGTTTGACCATTCATTTGCATTTATAATTGTTTCTGCTAAAACGATCCTATGACTAAAAAAGGTGACAATTTTTTCCATATTTCCGATTGTGCGTTGTAGCAAAGCTAGCTGATTCTTTTCAGAATTTTCTTATGTGTATATCTTGTTAGCGAAAAATTTATACGTAACGTATTAGCATTAGCAATCTTTCAAATTGTGCAGTTTTTATTTTAAAAAGGTAATATATATTGATTTAAACTTACCTTTGCAAAATCAAGAACGTAATTTTAAAAAGATTCCTATCATTTTATTTTGACGGTAATTCTACAAATTTTTCAATTGCATGGCACGTGTGCATGTAGACGAACGTTATCAACAAATCACTCACACGCACACAAATACGTAATGTTATTTTATCAGTAACTGCGTGACGCTTCTAGCAATTTTTCCTGCGCAACGCAATATAAAAACCTTTACGCCATTCGATCAGCAATTTTTAATATACATGTAATTTTTTAATGTTGTATAAGGAAACACACAAAAATCATCCGTCTTTTTTAACATTTTCTTGCACTTTGCACAAACTTAAATATTAGATTAGTAAAATAAAAAATTTCAAGAAAGGAATTCTCACCTGCCTACAAAGGACAACGACAACAACATTTGCAATTAGAAATTCAACAAAGAATCAAATCGTCAAGAATTAAAACAATATGGCAAAAGAGAAAGAAAATGGAAATCAAAGTGATGCGAGTTTTTATGAACTTGATGACGAAAAGACTATCCTTTCTCTCAAATTACCGCAAAATATATTGTCGGAATGGTTTCATGGGCGCTCGATCGCATTATTTATCTGTTTGGATATTTCGGGTACTGATATTTAATATTTGCTAGATCCGATTTAACGCTCACCAGTCACCCAATTATGATTTTTTTATACCTTGTTTTCCGGATTAAAAAAAAAGGCTCAATGGCTGGCTCAGGAATTCGTCAAGCAAAACAAGCAATACTGACATTGTTGGAAGGTGTTTTGACGACTGGTGCATGTAAGGAAGAAGACGTCACATGCTTCTTTTTTAATCATGGATGTCAAGAGGTACCGTTTGCTGATAATCCAAATTTGCGTTGGGATAATGGTGGAATCAAGGCATATTTTGATAATATAGCTGCTACTGGCGGTAATCGAATGTTTCTTTTTTTTTGCTAGACATTTTCTTTCCACTATTTGAGAAAATATTTTTAATCGTATATCTGAATGGAATAGGCACAAATTTCAGTGCAGTTTATGAATCGATCGTGAAACATATTGCCAATGTAAAGACAGATTTAGCTGTTATATTTTTCACTGACGGTCAAACAACACCAGTCTCGAAAGAAAAACAAGATGCACTGGCTCATGCACTTTCCCACTCGAAATATGGGACTGAGGTGCACACTGTTGGATTCACTGGTGACCATGATGCAGGTAAGTCAAGAAAACCGACGGATTTTGATCTGTACATGAAGGAGTCATTATCTCATCAATTCTTTGTTGCGTGGATCCGCGCATAATAGTTATTTTATCATGGCTCACAAAACTTGGAACAAAGCAAGGAAATTTCCAATATGTTAAATCATCGGGTGACATTCCAAACACAATGAAGACAACATTAGAACTGTTGGCACTGGGAGATCGAAATGTTTTTGTGAAAATAGGTGACAACCAAGAGCTACAAACATCATTTGATAATGAAGGTCGTGGTAGACTTGTGCTCACTGGCGAGGACAAAAGTGTGCGTGGTAAGAAAATAACGATTCTAAAAGAGAACGAGGGCAACGATACATTCAGCATCGAAGCACTTCGTGAGGTCAATCAAAGTGATCCGGAAGCAACGCTGTTGACAATTCCATTTATACAGCATGAGATCACAAGATTGACGAACGAGGTGGTAGCCAATTCTGATGAGAATGCAGACCGTGAAAAGTTGAATAAAATTGCAGATGAGGCGGAAACATATGATGCAAAGCTAAATGTTATCCTTGAGAATGCTTTCAAGATCAAGTCCATTTGGAGAAATGTCACTATACAACAATGTATGAATGTGAAGTCAATTCTTAATAATTTTAAAGATTTGCTGTCAGAGTAGGTGGTCATCATTATTTATTCTTTTATTGTATCAGAAACCTGTTAATCAAATTGCATTAATAGAGCTCTCAAAGGGACCCTAACAAATGAAAAAATCGCTACTTTCAACAATTTAGCATATAAAAATGTAACTAAAAGTCGACTGAAAAAGAGATTAGATGAACGCACAATAAAAAATATTGCACAAATGGAAGCCATAGAGGATCGTTTACAGTCATTGATCAAATCGATTGATTTCGACGAATTAGATCAAAATGAATCCGAAGAAAACAAATCAACCTTTACTTGCACACTGACAACCGGTAAGTTGATTGTTGTTTCTTTGATCTCAGTATCGTGTTGACATTTCTTTAAATCTTCAACCAAAAAAATTTAGATAATTACATTGAGGCAATGCGTGATGGAGAATGCATGTGTCTTACTCTTGACATTGCACGTTCAGAAGCGGCTATCGCTGATCCTACTCAGATCAAAATTAAGACAATTAATCAAACATTTCTTACCTCGGATGCTTTCATGACTTCAGTTGGACATGCACTTGAGGAGAATGACGAAGAGAATGTGCATGGAGGATTTCAAGGTCCTTCGTTTGGTGCAAGTGTGATTAAGGGTCTCGCAAGAGAAGATATAACAGGTATTAAAATTATGTGATAAGAGCGAATTTTTCTATGTTCACAAGCTTAATAATTTTTGGTTACTAGGGATCTTGCCGCTATACATCAATGAAAAGCATTGGCAAATAGCAAGAGAAAGGATTAAGGTGCTTTAAAATATTTTGAAGATCGAGGTTTTTTATTGTAGTTTACAAGAAGCTATAATGTAAATTTTTTTTTACAAAAATAGCCCATCTTGGGTTATATGACTACCCTGGACGTATTTGGGTATTCTTATGCTCAACTCACGACAATTCCATTCCTTGTTTTGGGGAGAGCATTCTCGGACACATCGATGGATTTTCGTCGATTCCAATTCAAATTGATCCTAGAAACTTGTGACGCAATCTACAAACAAGCAGCAAACCTTCGCGAAGAAAACAAGATGCTCTTTGAAAAATACACGAAATCACCTTTGAATAGAACCATCGATAGTGTTGCGAATCACGAAGTTTTGTTTGGTCACTTACTTTGTGCTGTACGATGCGGTGATGTTTCGTTAGCACAGGTACACTCTTACATACAATCTGGTATGGTAAAATATGCCGTCGAAGAGACCATTCGACGAAGACTCAATAGAAATCTTGGCAATATCGAAGAACAGTTAAATAATGCTCGGGTGTTGCTAGGAATTGATCAGAAGGAATATTTCGACGAACCCATTAATGAATTCTCAAAGGCATATGCTATCTATGTCAAAGAAGTGAAAGATTCAAAGAAGTCGGTCAATGATCGTTATTCTAGTGCATTTTTTGCCGAGTTAGCTTCAATCAATAATACTGATAAAATGGAAGTCGAATCCAATTATAATAAGTCAGAGCAAGAGGGGAACCTGATGGATGTAGATGAAATTCTTGCACCAACTGTAAAGACAAAACATTATGATTCTTCGAAATTTAAAGTGATTCCTACAACCATTCAACTACTGGACAAGATAAAAAATATCGTATCAGAGAATGTGGAAATTCTTCGCCGTTATCAAGCGATATTCGAATGGGCCATCAGAACAAACTCTGTCGATTTTTTGAACTTTTCCGAATTCAATAGCTTTGTCCCGAAGAAGACGCCATACACTGATAATTTCTTTAAGCAGTTTTCGCCCAAAGTTCAACTAGCAACCGTTCTTCAAGCATACATTCACCGACAAAACTCTACCCGACGTGAAGCTGCTGAAGGAACCAACACCACAAACGTATTCTTTGAGCCATTTTCAGAAACGACCGCCGATAACATCCTGTCAATTCAATTTGAAGAGTGTGTTTCAAGTACTTTGAAGCAGAGGGTGTCTGAGATTATTGCGTCATATACAAAGCAGGCGAATAATGCCGTGGGACTTGACTTTTGGGAGGCGACGTCTCCTGAAGAAGCCGCGGGATTGTTAATTCTTGAAGTGAAGTGTCGCGGAACAAAAGTATATGCACAGATAATTAAAGCTCTACAAAAACCGCATATGCCATTGGCACGAGAAAAGCTCGAGATGATGGTATCTGGTTCTTGGAAGGGTGTCCGATTATTTAAAGACATGTTCACCAAATTACCTGGTAAATTTCGAGTTTATTGAATGGGAAAGAAGCGAATTATCTAGAAAAGCGATTAAATTTTTTTTGTGCATTAATTATCATTTATATATAGAAAAAGCTATCTGGATTCCTTCTCGACAAAATTTGTACAGGACATTAACAGCACAAAAAGAGTGTGTGCCTGATGTCACGTTCTGGACCACGTTAATACCAAGTGCTAAGACTTATATCGAGCATCAATTCGATCAGGAATATTTGAGTCGTCGACGTCTTGAAAAGTGGCAGCTTCGAGAGCAGAAACGAGGGCATGAATTAACCTAATTCAAGTCTGTCGGCAAGTTATGATTATTATGCATAGTAAATATTTAGAATAATATATATACATATATATACAGTATATACAGTCATGTATTTTGTTTTTTTATATAGTATGCATTTGACTAATATTTATTAAAGATGCGTATATGCTTTTTTATTTGTGCAAAAAAACTAAGCAACAAAAAAAAAAAACAAAAAATTTTCGCAAACTATATAGGGTTTTAGCTTAGCCAAAAATTGAAATATTTTGGAAGAAGCTAGCCGTAATTTTATATTTTTTGCCGAATAGAAATTCGCTGCTGAAATCGTACGACACGTGCATTAGACTAGGTGACAATATAGCGGAACATGCGTACAAAGAAAAAGAGATGTACGATGATGAATCTTCACAGTTATCAAAAGTGTATAATGTGTGAGATGATGCAAAAGTTGGTGTATATAAAAGAAGCGAGTACAGCATGATGTAATTGTAATATATGGGTGTATGCTAACTGTATTATGCGAAGCGAGGAAGAGGCTGTGCATTAGACTATTACACGAAAAGGAAGGTATCATTGTTGTGTAACGGTAAACGGTAAGTATCGAAACTGAACATTTTCACAAACAATCGATCCGGAACGAGACGTAGACCGCGAACAAGTCCGATAAGAACGAGTAACAGAGAACGTGTATTACCATTACGTACTCGATAAATGTGATCATGAAAAACATGATTTATCCTATTGCTCCACGAGAATCATCCCCGGAAAAAGAAGGAAAATATCAAAAAACATCAATGAAAATCCAAATGTACATGTATGTAGTGTGTCAACTGATGTTTTTTATGCGGTATAACGGATATACAGTACATTATGCTATTAAGAATCAATCACAACAATAAAAGCCTCCTTTTTCTCCACCTAAATATGTAGATAAAGTCGCATGGAGTTTCCTTGTGTAATCCAACAAACACCAATCGATAATATAAAATAATGAAGTAGAGAGTCTATGACATAATATTATTTATTGTGCTTAGCGCCCGCCGTTCGTGTGTCGTGTATGGTTTACTTGTCAATGGCATGATTTTTTTATCTTCATTATGTGATTTTTTAGTAATCTTCATTATTGATATTGTTATCGTAATATAATTATTGTTGTACATATGTTTTTATTGTTATCGGTTATGCTATTCTTATACGGTATTACTGTGATTAAAAATATATATAGTACAGCGTCGTCATCACCAACTTAGTAAGACTTCCCCTACAACATAAATAACATAATACAACAAATACATGTACATGTAATTAGCACGCGCAAGTTTCGTCATTTTTTTTTAGTGTGTGGAGATAAATATATAAACGAGAAAAAAACTTTTAAAAAGAAATTTCCTTGATTTGAATCTATTGCCCAATAAAAATCTGACAAAAGAAAAAATATACACACGCTTTCACACATATTACACAAGCGAACTCAAATATAATAAAAAAATGGCCATATTCAAACTAACATACAACTCAACAACACGTCAACTAATAATTCCTGCGTGCGCGTCTTGGAAAACAATTCAGTTAAAGATTCGGACAATATTCGGCATATCGAACGACAATTGCATTTACATTTCTTTTGTAGATCCGGAGACGCAAACCCGTAAAATTATAAAGTCCGTTTCGGAACTGAAAAATGCTGTAAATACAAAGTCTTCAGGGTCAGCGTTATCCCAAGGCTTGAAATCAACGTTGGGTGGTGGTAGCAGTAGTGCTGTAAAGTTGTTGACCTTGACGGTTACTACCGAGATACCTGATGAATTCAGAGAGGAATTGAAGGGTATTATCAATAAAAATGAACAATCAGAACAAGAACACCGTCCGGGAGTAATTCGTCGAATAGCCACATTTGGAATCCCACAATGTAATGGTCAAAACAATATGAATAACGGTATCAAAGCAGAGATGAAACAGATACTCTTACCATTTTTCTCGAAAACAACTCACCAACTATACCGACTCTTTACGAATGAAAATAACAACACCAACACCACCACCACCACCACCGACAATTTTAAAAGCTTCGATTTCATAAAATCTTCTTCTCTGCTTCTTGTCTATACATCATTCTCGTCATTCTTACTATTCATCCTACTAAAAAATTTCTTGGAGATGGTAAAAGTGTTGTTGCCGACCATTTCTGTACTGGTGATGGCTTTCTGCGTCATCTGGTCTTGGGAGACTATTATTGCTACGCTTGAAAATCAGAATCGAACATCATCATCATCAACATCATCGTCATCATCATTATAACATCCATCCATCCATCCATCCAAAAGTTGCATTTTATCATGTTAAAAGACATTTATTCTATTTGTACATAGATTTTTTTCTTGCATTTTTGAAACAACCAATAAAATTCAATCCCATTTTTGTCTTGAACATTGATTATTTAGTGAAAAAATTTAGATAGCGAACGTTTTCTATATAATCGAATCGTTATTTGATGTATTACTAAATAAGATAAAACTACTAGAAGAAATAAAAAGCACTGATAAAATGCTAAAGACAAAACAAAATTTTTATTTCTATACTAATAAATATGTTCTAAACTTGATGACCAGTATTATAAGTCTATTTATCGTTTTCTTATGATGATATGATGTGTGTGTTATTTATTTATTTATTACTCGTATAACCAACAGGTTTCATCCCAAAAATCCTCACAGAAACCCAATAAGTCTGAAAATTATTAACTTCTTGTCGAAATTCAGTGATTTTCTCGTCAAAGTCCGTATCGGTCTTTTGCATGAATGGAACCAACTCTGATTTCGATTGATTAAACCATTGTAAAAGGTTGGTGAGTGCCGCCTCGCCAAGTTTATCACCCCATCCGCCAATTGGATGGCATTGTTCTTCGACATCAATGTCTACGATTCCAGCGTCTTCGAGGAATTTGTCCAGTAGGGGAGTGATTATTGGATTGATCTTTTTTGAGGTTAGTTGTGCCCGAACTACATTTTTTTATAAAAATCGTAATAGGAAATGGATTATTATTATTATTATTATTATTATTATTAGCATTGATGTGATTTGGGAGAAAAAAAAATATTTTTTTACATACTTGCAGACAATAGAACACTAGTCGACGGCCCTTCATTCATTGCTTGTATATCAAAATCCATTATCTCGACATATCCGCCTGGCTTCAACACACGTATCAAAGCAGGTATAACACGTTCATTCCATTCTACCTCGGTAAAACAACTACCCATAAACCTAACATGGATAAAATCAAAGGTATCCGCTTCAAAAGGTAACTTCTCGTTAAGCACGTCGCATTGTTCAAAATTCACGTTTGACGGTTTGACGCTGGTCGGGAATGTTGCCGATATATCAACACCTGTGAACTGTGATGGTTTGTAATCATTTGCCATGTCGAGAATCCAAGTTCCCGGCCCACAACCGATATCTAATACTCGGGTTTTACCCGATTTTAGTTTGTCTTCTATCGGGGAAGAGAAATTGGTTTGCCATATGTATCGGAATCTTTATACGAAGAGAAAAAGCAACGTTATTTTCTGGCACGTAGGGTTATTTTTAAAATGATAGCAATGTAACGTTTTTCCAAACCTGACAAATCAATGATGAGAAAATAGAAATAAAAATACTTGCAGAAAATGTTGAGCTGTCATTCGATCGTTTTCATCGTCAGTATTTGGCAGTGGATATTTTTTCATCTCCTCTCTAGATCTTTTATGTTGCAGCGTCTTTTCATTATTCTTTGATGAAAGTGATCGAGATGCCGTATTCTTATCACGCCCAGAAAAGCAATTACCCATTTTTATTATTATTATTTTTAATCTATACTTTTTTCTATATCGCTCAAAAGATAAAAGGAAATCAAAAAAAAAGAAAAACGAAAAATAAAGAATCAAATATCTCGTATATCGATCTAATAGTATTAACAAACCATCTTTTAATAAGTGTGCATAAATAAATATTACATTATTATTTATAGTATTGTGCATGTCCGATATCGATATTGATATGATTTTTTATTTCTCCCAAACAAATAAGGGACAAATAATTTTACATAATGTCAAGAATCAATACATGCATAACGATAATGATAAGCGTGAATGATCAATAACCTTAAAATGTTATCAATCTTGAAAAATGAAGACTTCGGCATTAACGATAAATGATACATGTAATAATATAAACAAAAGCCAAAAAAGAAAAATTCCTAGAAGAAAGATTGCGAAAGGGAGACAAAGAATATTCTTGGCGTCCGCCATTTTAATACATTTAAAAGATCGTTCGATCAACCATGTGGTCGTTGTGTTTGTTACATCAGAAATGTTATCGTTATCAATAGCGACACGATAGATCAAAAAAAACCGATATATAAACAATCTTATCAATTTCCTCTCGATTTTTTTGCATACATGTGTGCATGTAACAATGAATTGATAGATGAATGCAAAAAATAATTTGCACTATCGGCACTATCAGATTTTAATCAATTCGTCTTCATTCTCAATTGATACCATTTTTGCATCTTTTGCATTGAAATTTATACCAAATCATGCTAAGCTTTCGCTTGAAGAGTTGCTCGATATGATATTCTAGATGAAATTATCTTTCCGCTTGCCAGTGGATTGCCGTTGTATTCCAAACGGGCAATTAATGAAAAACTTTATCGAAAAAATTATCGACCGATGCAAAATAATGCTAATGTAAACAATGCAATACTTCAATACTAATTATAGGCTCCTCCAGCTTTTTTATTTTTTTCCGAACCAGTTAGTATCTTCCATGTTCCTTGTAATACTGGATGGTATTACGAGGTTCGAGATCTCTATCTTATCTGTTTCTGCAAGAGTGATCCATGTATCAATAAACTCGTCTATAGATTATAATTTAATTAATTGCGCATGAACGATAGTCGAAAACAATAAACCTGTGCTAGCTCTTAAGTTTTTGGCATTGCGGAAGTTTAGTACATACATACAATGCCTTTTGAACTCGAAATTTAACCCTTTCAATTACAGGGGGATTTATTATAACTGTTCCTGAATCAACTTCGATTTATCGGTTTTTAAATTAGTTTAACTGAATCCGGTTTAATGAGGCTCGATTTTATTTCAAGCTTGTGTTTTTAGTATGTGAAATAAGCAAAGCTTTTCATTAAAAACAGATCATTGTTTATCGATTGAATCTACATGTAACTTGAAAACTAATCCATTGTTCTTGTAGCCGTTCTTGTTAATGTTGGTAAGATTATTTGAACTCGAAGGAATATCAAGTAATTATACTGACGAAACTATTTTCATGATGACGAATGACGAGACGAAATCGTCAAACGAAACCTGACTATTTGGGATACAGAAAAGGCAACGCTAACTACTGATTATAATTTT